AACGATATTTGCTTGTTTCTTCTTTTTGTGCATTGTTAAGAGTTCTGTAAGAGTTGGACACAGGCAAACGGCAGGCTTTCAGCTTCTACTATTGGATTTTTTATTGTTTGTTTTTTTTTTTTTGTGGATCCACTTTGTTTTCCCAGTTTATCCAGTTTCTCAGTCACGTAGTCGACAGCCGATGACGTGGCTGTTGCTGAACCGTCAACAAAGCGGCGTCAGCTGGAATTGCGTGTGTGTGCGTGTGTGTGCGTATGTGTGCGTGTGTGTGCGTGTGTCATCAAGTGCAGTCAGCTGTCATCTCTTATACACATTGTCACGCAATTGACGGGCAACAGCCCAACACCCTTTGCCAACAGAGTTTCCGACGTTAAAAATAGCCACAAAGTCGAAGCGAGCCACGCACTTTCTCTGTCTCTCGCTTTCTGCCTCTCGTTCTCTGTCTTTGTCTCTGTCTCTCCCTCTTTTTCAGTCGTCTCTCTATTGTCTCTTGTCGCATTGCCATTTGATCGATTTTTGCCTTAACACATTTTCGCAATGCTTAAACAGGCGACACGCCCCAAAGACCCTAGACCCTAGACTATATACCATGTCGCCAGTTGCCATCCAAGCCCCACCCTGGACAATTGTCATTATAATAAGGTTATGTAGCTCTGACATATCCGTGTATCCAACGCTTGCCCTCACTCATCCCCATCCACCTTGTCGCTTGCCTCATTTGGTTCCATTGGCTGACCTTGAACGCTGCTCTTTATATTGATTTCTTTTTTAAGTTAATTAAAAAGCGCAGGTTGCGAAATGAAGCTCAGCCATTAAACCCAATGAGCCAAGCGAAATGTGGCCCCCCCTCTCTTAAATTAGACTAATAGAATAGAAGAAGAACAAGAGGAGAAGAAAAAACTAGATACGCAGCAATTGAGCAGCAGTAATTGTCATAATTAAGTGCAGGGGAGTACGCGGAGCAACTGGCAATTGTCGAGAGCTGGCTGCTCTTGCTCTGCCTCAAGTGGTTGTCCCTCATAAATGTAAGTGATACGACAGCTCAGACCCGAGTCACATCCGGCAAATAGGTGGGCAACAAAGTACCGAGCGATAGAATTTCCTATGCTCTCTTCTTTTTAGTTGGGAATTAAATTTAATATTCAGCTAAGGGCTTTAGCTTGATTCTAGTTTAAAAGGGATGGGGGCTTTTAATTCTTGCGTAGATCATGAATTCCATTCAGTTGAGGGGCTTAGCTTGATTCTAGTTCTTAAAGATCTTTTTATGGTTATTCTTTGTCTTTCTTTATCCAAATTTATTCACTTGCAATTTTCCATAATAATTTCATAACATACAAAAATATTGTATCTTTGAATTCTTAAGGTCGATTAAATTTTAAACTCTGTCATTTCATTTGCATTTCCCTTAATGTAAGTTCTAAATATATAATAATAATTTCATTTTGACAACTTGATGAGTTGAGAAGACATCTTCAATCTCATATTGTCTATATGTTATTCTTCTGGTTTAAAAAGAAAAGTTGTATGCATCTATGCGCCTGCCCGTCCTTAAACTAGTTTTATAATTTAGTACATTGATATTGTTTCAAATTTGGAATGTATTATGTTTATCGTCCATATTATTGTCATAGAATCTACTTGTCGCCTTTAGAGGTTTCTGATAGATATGTGAAAAATTGAATCATATATGCACAAATTTCTTGATTTTGAAACTATGTTCTACAAACTGCCTGATAAAACGCATTATTTAACCAGATACATACGAATTATGTACTGGACTTATGCTTCATTTCTCTATGTTCCCTTACTTCTAAGGAGTCCTGTCTTCTTTTTTGTATCATCCTTTAACTAGCTATTGCATAGGCATACAAATTCTACCCAATGCTCTTTTTTCCATATATATATATATATATATATATCCCATCTGTACCCATCGCATTTCAGCTGCATTGCCTCCTCTTCGGGCCCATTTTCCCATTAGCCTTTTCCCATTTGCATTTGCGTTGCTGTTTGCTCAACCCGGCCCGAACGCAACGCTGGTCGACCGTGTCACAAAATCAATTAAAAAACTGCCTCATTCGCTGCAACAACGCACCACGGGACCCCGCCCTTTCCGCACACATTCTCCCACGGCCTGGCTCGGACCTGAGCCTCGTCTATTTGCCCGGCGTAAATGTCGACACTGGACAAACATAATATTTTTCCGCAAAAACTAGCGCAAAAATAAAACGCACAAGAGCTGCAGGTAAACAGCGTCCAGGGAGCAGCCCCTGGCAGGCAGCCGCGCCCAAAGCGACGCACCAGCCAACCAACCCACCGCCCCCGCAATAAGCCGCCCAAACGCCCAGCCACACCCACTCAAAAGAACGAACGACTAATTTTTGTCGCGCACGGTCAACTTTTGTAATTTCCGTAGCATTTGGGCGCGTCAGACGGCGGCGCTTCTCGAGCAATTATGCCACTTGCCACTTGCTGCAATAACTGCCCCTTGGCTAATTTGCCACGCCCAGTTAGCCCAGCCAGACAACCGCCCAACCGCCCAACCAGCCAGCCACCCAGACACACAGCCAATCTGAACGCCTGTCTCATCTGTTGGGCTTTGGGCTTTGTCACAGTCTCTTGTTGTCTGCATAAATCAAATATTTGCTAATAACTCAACAAACACACACACACACACACAAACACACACACACACACAGTTGGTTAGACTGTTTTGCGGCGCCGCTTCCAGTTGCAACTGTTGAACTTTGTTGTGTTTGTCGTGCAATGCAATCAACAAGAAAATAATTAATACAAAAGTATTTTAAGCTCCATATGTGTGTGTGTGTGTGTGTGTGTGTGTGTGTATACATGCGTCCGTGTGTTTGCATTGCAACATGGGCTTCTGTTTGCCATTTTTTTAAATTTTTATTAAATTGCATCAAATGCTGCATACTTTGAGGCGCACGATGTTTAAATCGAATTAAATGCGAAATTTAAATTGAATTTGCGGCTAGCTGTGCGACGCCCACGCCACGGCTACGTCCCCTCTGCCAGCCCCCCAATTTCTATCCCCTGTTCTATATATCTATCTAGTCCGCCACCGCCTGCTGTGTTAATTGTGCTGCGGGAAAATTGCGATTAACTCGGATCCAGCGGCGCGGCAATTTCCCGCAATTCACACTCCGCTCTCCACGGTTTCTCCCCCAACTTCCAGCTAAATGCAACAAATAGAAATCAGTTGAGACTATTTCCGAGTACTGGATACTTAAAATGAGAATCCACTGAAGCTTTTAGCTATTGTTTACTTTTATTAGCAGTTAATTGTCTGGAACCGAATGGTCCTCAGGTAGAACATGGCAAATAACCAATATATGGATTTTTTCACTTTTCTGCACAAGTATAAGAATTGGTATCTATGCTATTCCCTTTTCCCACTTATTCTACAAACGCATATTTTTCGAATTCAATATACTTATATACCCCGTTACTAGAGGGGAAAAAAGATATGCTATCTTTCTATAAACAATTTCTCTTTCTTTATTTACGGCTGATATTTTAAGATGTGTTTGCAAACATTTCTGGCTCGCCTATTGGCGAATCCATTGCCCTTTTTTTAAAGCCTTAGATTTGTAGAGCTTGATTTTGAATTGGAAACAGAGTATGTTGTATGCTGTTCCCACTGCAAAGTCTTTGTTTGTTGTTTGAAAAAAGGCCAGACGATTTTATGGAATTTATGTGTGAAAGGTCATTTTGTGTTCATATTAAAATATATTGTTCTTAATTTAAATAAGTTCGACATACCCGAACCCAAAGAGTATTTATATATATAGTGTTATAGATAAATATATTTATATAATTGATCAGAACCAACAGCCGAGTCGATCTAAACATGTGCGTCTGTCTGTTGACCTGCAAAGTAATCTGTCAGTTTTTATGCCTCTTTCGGACGGATCGGACCAGTCTATCATATAGCTGCCATAAGAACAACTTTTTTAGCAACTTTTTGGTTTTAAGCTATGTTAAGCAAACTTGCCACATACGGATTCTGAGTTGCCTCTTATAGATGAACCAAGACTTAACTATGTCAAACAGACTATATTTATGGTAAGAATCGGTCGAATGCCATATTTTTGTATGGAATTGTTATATGATTTCACCAAAGTCCGCAATTTAGCGCTTTGCAGATCTTATAATTTCGTCGTGAGTCTTAATTGGTTAAGGTATTTTAAAACTGACTCGACTTTGGGGGCATTTAGTGCCACGCCCACAGCTCAGATACCATCGACAGCACTCAAGATAATTATGTGCAAGCCGGAAAACTGTGTCAGTCGTTGGCGGCAAGTGAAAATGAGCAAGAAAACGGCTAGTTAGAAGCAACGGCAGATGAAAAATGAATAATAAACAATATATAATAAGAAATGGTCGAGGGAGAGAGAGAGGAAGCAACGAAAAACAAGACAAGCCTCAGCCGAAAAGCATGGGCTGGCTGGCCATTGACTATGAAAACTGACCACTGACTTGTCCAGAAGCAAAGCTGGGTGGTGGGCGTTATGGGCGGGATGGGCAGTACGGGCCGTGGGCAGCTAATTAGACGGCGTGTCGGCAGCCAGCAAAGTGTGAAAATGGGCAGCGCACAGTGGGTGGATTGGCCAGCGATGGGTGCAAGTAGATTGGAATTGGATTGAAATTGGAATTGGATTGGAATTGGATTTGGATTGGATTGGATTGCATTCGAGTGGCACGCGACGTTATTTGCTCAGGCGTAACTCCATGGCAAGCCCGCCGCCAACCGCCCACCCGCCCGATCTGCTGCAGCTGCTCATTTGCATATGCAAACTTTCTATGGAAGCAATGCGAATAATTTATGCTGATGAGCTAGACGAAGTTTTTCATTTGTGTGCTGAGTGAGTGGCGGGCAGGGGCAGAGTACGTGCAGCTTTGATGTTTTGGCCAATATGGTATGCCATGTAGGCATGCAGATATCTAACATATATGTATGCATTACACGTGTCACTTACCCTTGAGCAGATGCTGCAAGATGTTGTCCTTGTGCTCCTCGGAGTGCGGCTCGCCCATTACAATAAGTAGATAGCAGCCGGTTAGCGGACTGGGCGGTCCCACAATGCCGCCAGCCAAGCTGGAGGCGCCACCGCCATCCGAGCAGGCGGTATCCAGCGGCGGACGACCGCCAATTTCCGACGGCGGCAATGAGCTGGCGCCTGCCCCAGTGGTCGCATCATCACCAGCATCGCCAGCAGCGCTGGCACCAGCTGCACCCACACCATCTGCATCCACTTGGCCAGGCGACGGCGGCTGCAATGTAGCCGTAGCTGGTACATGCACCTCCACCTGGCCCAGCTGCTGGGGCGGATCAGCGCCTCCATTGCCGTTGCCATTACCATTGCCATTCCCGTTGCCGTTGCCGTTCCCGTTGCCATTGCCTTTGCCATTCCCATTCCCGTTGGTTTGGGCGGGACCCTCCGGAGCGGTTGCTGCCATAATGGCTGCTTCACTAGTTCCTACACCTGCTGCTGCTGCTGCTGCTGCTGCTGCTCCTGATGTTGTTGTTGTCGCCTTTGGCCGATCTCCCATCACAGATGTTGCTCTTGTTCTCACAGACACGGGCACACAAAAAAAAAAAATAAGCCTAGCCGTACACTTGAAAAAAAAAATACGTATCGCTTTGCGCTGCGGAGTTTTTGAAACTCTACCGTACTCTTTTACACACTATGCGTGTCTCTTTCGCTCTTTCGCACACTGCCTCTGTCTATTTCTCTCTCTCTATCGCTCTCGCTCTCTCTCTTTCTCACTCTCGCTCTGTGTCTGTCTCGCTCTCACTGGCTCGTCTCTGTCTTGCACGGCGTTTTGTGGCACTTCAAGTTTCTTGGAAATTTTTCGATAAAACGTCCGAAGCTCAGTCTTGACTGCTGTGGCAATTGGGCGGGCGGCTGGCTGACGGGGCGTGGCAGCTTTTGCTGCTTCACTTCACAAGCTGCGCTTCTTGCGGCTGCTTTCTGTTGTTGTTGTTGTTGTTGTTATTGTTGTTGTTGTTGTTGTTATTTGTTGTACTTTTTGTTTGCTGGCCGTGACTTGGGCGCTTTTTTTTATGAGTTCTTCACTTAAGTTTTTTCTTGTCTTTGCAATTTTTTGCTTAATTGGTTTCTTCTTTATATGCGAAATTATATTTTTTTTATTTATATTTATTTATCTATTGTTTTTTTTTTTTTATTTGCTTGCAATTTTCTTTTTGTTTTCTTATTTGTTGTGCACACTTCGAAGCTGTGTTAGTTGCTTTTGGTTTTTCTTGAAATTAAATTAGATTCGTTTTGTTTTTTTTTTTTGCGTTTGGGAATTTTTTAATAATATTTGGTTTTTTTTTGCTGGAGTAAATTTTGCGGCAATTGGCGTGTTAATTTTTGTTTTAGTTTTTTTTTCTTTCAATATTATGAGTTAAATATAATTTTTCTTTTTTTTTCTGTAGATTTGGACTAGCTTTTACTTGTAGCAATGCTTTTTTTTTTTGGTTTGGTTTTTAATATTTTAATTAATAATAATTGTCCATTTGGTTTTGTAATGTGTGTGTGTGTGTGTTTATATGTATGTGTGTGTGAGAGTTATTTTAATATGCAAATTTAAACTTTTGTTTTCTGCTTACGAGTGACGTCTTTATATATATATATATAAATATATATATATACTTTTTGAATGTCTTTATTTGGTTTTTCTTTGTAATCTGCGACTTTTTCGGTTGTTTTTTCTATTTTAGCTTTCCTTCGTTTGCTTTGGATCTGCAAAGAAAAGAGCGAAAAAAGGGAAATTCTTGTAATAAGCGAGATCTTACATATGCTTATATATGTTTTAAATTGGGAGGGGAAAAGCAGGGGGAAACAGAGTACTTAGCTAGAGTATTGATGATATATATACTAGTTATAAATATCAATAAGTGCAATGAGACGGACTACTTTCTAAGTTCTATGAGTATGAGGTATATTGCAGAAATTGATTTTTACACAAAGCTCTATCTATTGTTGACCTAAGCTATTGCAAGTCGTCCCAGTTTACTTTTATTTCCAGTTAATCAGCCCAAGTGGCTCTGAACGAGTTTTAGAAGTAATTTTTATCCAGCGCCACACAACTTGCAACAACAATTTGCTGTTAGACGCTGCACTTATGACAACCTGAAAAGACGCACATATATAGAACTGGCCAGGTCCGAGGCAAGCCTCTAATGCCGCACGGCCCAACGGGCCGACGGGCCGACGGGCCGACGGCCAGTTCCATCAGCCAGACAAGCCAAACAGCCAAGGAGCTATAAAAAGCCATAGACAGGCTCCGCATATAAATGCATTGAACTTTGGCCGTGTTGCTGACAACAACAACAACAACAACGACAACGACAACAGCCACAAATTGCACATATGCAGCAACACACACACACACACTTGGGCACACACACCCCAAAAAGATGTCGTCATCGCTCCATGGCAACGACAACGACGACAACGTCGACGTCATCAGGCGCTGGTGTTGCCTGACTGAATGTGAAAACTATAAAAAGCAGCGGCAACAGCAACAACAGCTATAAAAATAAAAACAAAAACAACAACAAGCTGCACAACTCCTTTTGATATTTTATGTCGCGTTGTTGTTGTCATCCTGCAATGTGTTGTTGTTAGGTTTGTTGTTGCTGTCGTTGCTGCTGTTGTTGTTGTTGTTGTTGCTGCTTCCTTGTGACTTGGACTTGGTCGCGTGCCTGGTCTACGTGCCCATTGCGCCTTCTCCCTAGCCACAGGCGTTGCGCTCCGCTGACGCCGTCTTTCAGTATGTTGTTGTTGCTGCTGCTGTTGCTAGTGTCTCCATTGGCGCTGGTTCGTGTTGTTGGCGGCGTCGCCCGATGATTCACCCAGCCAGTCGCCGGCAAATGCAGCTACACTTGTATCTCCACACGCACACTCACACACACTCATATACACACGCACACCCCATATACACACATGAGTACTAGATATTCGAAGTACTCAGTTCTGAGAGCTGCCAAACGCAATGCAATTTTGCATTTGCTTGGGGCTATATCTCTGGGGGTCTTGGTCGTGGGCACGCCTTGGTTTTGATTAATGAGTTTTTGCTATTTTTGGGCCCATATCTTTGTTTTGCTTTCCTCTTATTTTTTGCATTTGCCACCAAAAAAAGCGCAGCTGCTAAAGTCAAGTGCAGGCGACCAAAAACAAGGAAGCATTTTCTCCTTTTGACTGTCCGTCGCATTTCATTGTTGCAATGTTGCAATGTTTTTCCAAAACTGATTTATTTTTTAGATTTACCAAGCTAACCTGTATTAATAGCTAATCGAGAGCTAAAAAGGGATGTTTCGCTTAGCATTCGGCTAGAGACAGTTGTTGCCTGGGTTGATAGTTGAATAATCAAAATCGTAATAATTAAGCCAACTTTCAGCATTTTCTGCTCTATTATATTGAGACCTATTTATGTTTTCTGTTTGTCATATATATTCTCATATTATATTTTCAATTTAATGAAAATATTTTCTGATACAAGTTTGTCATGGCACAAGAATGTGGAAAACTTGCTCAGCGAACTGAACCAGCGAGCTGATTCGAACTGCAAATCGGAGATTTTAGTTTTCTTTTATATTATTATTATTATTTATTTGATCAATTTTATTAATACTAATATATTTATATTATTATTTATTTTTATTATCTACCAAATGTGCTAACCTTTCCGATTAGTTCTTCTTACTAACTAATCGGCGACACAAGTATTTGTAGTTGTTCAGTGTATATTTTAAGGGATGATTCTGTAGCTTGATCCTTACTCTAAGGTGGCATGCTCTGTATCAATCAATCAATCAGTCAAGCCTTTTCCAAGTACAGCCAAACATTAGAAACCCTAAGCAACTCCTTAACTGGTTCTGCTGCCACAAACTTCCCTGCTTAAATTGACGAAAAATGTATCTTAAAATAATATATATTGCTTAACAGCCCCAATTCTGTTAGCTTTACATCTTCATAGCTAAGAAGAAGCAGTCATATGAATAATATCTGCGCAGGCTAACTCCTTGTATTATAGATATTAACAGTATATTGAATTGATCCTTCTCATATACATATATATGAAACTATTTAACCTTTATTCAAGTCACGCAAAGCTGCAGCAATTTGCAATTTAAAATTGATTGGCTGCTGATGATTGGCCAAATAGCTGCAGCAATCACTTGTACAGATCGTATTTAAGACGAAAGACCACAAAAAAAATGTGAAAAAAAAATAAATTGAAGCAGACACTTGCAACGTGCAAGAACTGGGCTGTGCAACTGGGGCGCTTAAAAGAAGTTGCAACTGAAGCCGCAATGAAACGGAACTGCGCTGAGTTTCAAGCAACTGCAGAGGAAGTTGTAGAATCAATAGGTCACACACACACACACGCACACACGCACAGAACAGTCGCGGCACGTGTTGTGGCTGCAAGCCGCAGAGAACTGTGGCAATTTGTTATATGATATCACCGCAAGGAAGCCACAAAAACCTCCGACCAACCAGCAGGCAAAGAAGTTGCATATACCAGCAGGCAAGAGGGCAAGAGGGCAAGAGGGCAAGCGGAAGAGGCACTTGAGGCACACACACACACACACACACACAGGCACATACAGGCACACACACCAACAAAAAATTTGTCACTTTAATTTGCAATCCTCAGTTGCTAACAAAAAAAAAACTTGCCAAAAAAAATAGATTGAAGTTTTTGTTGAACTTCTTTTAATTTTTTTTTTTTTTTTAGCTCGAATTGAATTTACTTTTTAGCTGCTGCTGCGGCTGCGGCTGATTTTACTGCTGCTGCTGCTGCTGCTGTTGCTGTTGTTGCGACTTCTTCTTTAGCTGCTGCTGCTGCCCACAATTTTGTGTGTGATTTTTGTTCGTTTGCTGCAAACGTTTTGAAAGCTCGACGACGACTGAATCTTTGGCCGGAACAACTCGCACAACGAAGCGGCGTCGGCGTTTAGCAGCACAAGAAGCGGCGACTGCGGCAGCGACAGCGGCAGCGGCAGCGGCGTCTACTCGTCGCCGTTTTGGCTGCACGGCAACTTCAGTGCTTGTTGTTGTTGTTTTTATTGCTCGTGTTTGCCGTTATTGGAACTATTCCAGTCTGCGTCTGCGTGCGGCGCTGCCAAAGCTTTTATAACTGCTGTTTGTGTTGTTGCTGCTGCTGCTGCTGCCGCTGCTGCTGTTGTTGTTGTTGTTGTTGTTGTTGTTCGCTCAGCTGGGCCGATAAAGGCTCGTCCTCGTCCTTGCGACTCGTGCGGCCGGCGGAACGCGCGCCACTCGTCGCTTCCAGTTCGTTTCAATTCGTTTTTGGCTCGTTTCCCAATCGTTTCATTTCGTTCTGTTTCGTTCGGTCTCGTCTCGTTAGTGGCGCCATGGCCCGCCCTCCAACCGTTCCGCGCCGGCTAACATTTTGCCAGTCATTCTCGTCGGCGCCGTCGTCGTCGATTTTCCGATATGCCGCCTTCTTGGCACTTCGGAGTTGGCGCATTAGGTTCTCGACTCCCTGCTGGATGGAGTAGGCAAGCCCCCGTTCCCACCCCTCCTTCACCGTGTCAATAGCGTAAAAGAGTAATTGCATAGCCTACTTTAAGAACTGGCTAAAGTGTCATGTATATGCCACGTTTCCAAATCTAGCTCAGATCATCTCAATTGAAGCTAACCGAAAATCTTTCTTTACTCCTAAAGAAAAACGAATTTCAAAATGAACTAAATCAACTTCTAATGTTTTGGATTTCTTAATATTCGAATTTTAAGCACACAACCTAAACTTTCAAATTCTTCAAAATTGTACAGAGGGTGCTTTAGTAGAGGTCAACTAGTAGATACCCTGTAAATAGCGCCTAACGAACATAGGAAACAGACGGACAAGCTCTTTATACTGAGGTTGTCCAAATCCATTATTATTCCATTCTCGCTTAAATAAAGCATACGAATGTGTGTATATCGCAAAGTGCAACACTCTTGGGCGAAAATATATACACGAAAGCCTACAATAAGCGCCCAAATATGATAAATAGAACGATTTATAGGTAGTTATAGAAAACCCTTGATCTGCACGTGCAATAGGACCTATGTTCCATATTTGAAGTATCTAGAACTTAGAGTACCTGAGACCGACACCGCCGGATATACGTATGAAAAAGATGGTTCTATATAAACATCTATATATGTCTGATACACAACTTTGATATACATGCTTGATTTCAATCAGCCAATTTGTTATCATATCAAGAAAAAAAAAAAAAAAAACAAAAACAATTGGCACAATATGCCCTCTATATGAATGAGCGATAAAGTATAATAGATAATTAATTAGTAAATAATTCGAATATGCGATTAAAAATTAGATGGTATCTTATCTTCATATATTTACAAAATATGGCTTGATCTTTAGCATACATAATAAAATATATAGATAAATATATCAATATATTATTTACGTGTTCCCGCTGCGGACTAGGAATGTTTCGTTGGCAACAATGTTACGTGCTTTTAGTTGAGTGTGCGCCGGAATAAAAATTGTTACTCATATTATGCACAGGACACTCGGATAACAACTGAACAGCCGCTGGCCGGACAGTACGGCGGATAGGAAGCCGCAGACGATATCGTGGCAAAGAAACAAATACAACAACAAAAAAGATATTGCCGCTAAACGCCGACCGACTGGAAGGCAGTCGATGTGCATCTGATATGCGATTGGGCAACGCTCATGAAATTACGCAACTTCCAGTCGCAGCAAATGCCAAAGTTGAATGGCAGCAAAAGCGGCCATCAAAATTAACTTAATTTTCATTTTGTACAAGTAAGAAAAGAACAACACGCATTTTAGTTAAGTATTCGACAAAACTCAGCATTTAGTTGAGCAAAACATCGCCATTTTGGCAGTTCGCTCGACTGGAAGGCAGACGGCAACCATCTGATTTGCAGCACACACACACACACACACACACACGGGCCTGGCACGGCACCAATACAGTGGCAAACAGCTGCCAGCAAAGTAAATATTGATTTTGCGCGCCGCCTTACGCTTGCCGGCTGTTCCCACTCAGCAGGAGACGCGTTCTCTCTGCAGGCGCCACGAACAGCTGGCCAAGCTCTCTGCTGTTTTGTGTGGCTGTGTGTGTATGCAAGTGTATGTGTGTGTGTGTGTGTGTGTGTGTGTGCCTCGCTCAGCTGTGCGTCCAATCAACCGTTGAATTTTGAAGACGACATGTCCAACAGCTTGCCGCTGTCAAGCGCAATTTATCTTCGAACTGAACATGCCACAATGAGACCCAAAAAATTGCTCTCAATTTCGCTCAGTTGACTTAACTTCCTGTTTACCGATGAGTTTTACTTGATAATCTGGTGCGATAAATATGAATATTTTGGTATACAATTATGCTTAACAATATATTATTACTACTGATTAACTACTTAATCACTAATTTTACAACTTTTTATACTTATGAGTATCTAATTAGTATTTTATATTATTATTAATTTAATACTAGTAATCTGTATTTATTATCAATTACTTTTCATTATTTATTTATTTGCTTTTTTAAATTATTATTAGATTTATTATTCATTTAATTATTTTTTAAATAAGTATCTTATATAGGTTAATTTTTGATTTTTATTTATTTATTTAAATTATTATTTTTATATTAATTTTTAATTTGGTTGTTAGTCAAATTAGTTATTCAATTATCAATTTAATTACTTATTTAATTTTTTTTTAAATTATTTTCAACTTACGTAACTTATGTCTAATCTGTTGTTAACTTACCTTTATAAGTTGTATTTTTTTAATTTTTTTTTTTTATTTGATTAAGAAAGCATATATATTTTTTGTTTAACTTCACTTTGCACTATGGATGGAGCAACTTTTTTGTTTCAGTTTTCAGCATTTGCATTAAATATATTATATTAACATATATTATAATTTATTATATTTGTTATAAAGCTTTTCTCAAAATTTGTTTGGCGTTTTTGTGTAAATGTTTAGAGTTTGAGTTGACTTTGCTCAAAATGGACTTTCTTTATGTTTTTTGTTTTTTTTTTTTATCAGACAAACTTAATAGGCGTATTTGTTAATGTTTCTATTTATATATATTTTTTATTTTATTTAATATAGTTTATTTATGGCGAAAGCGACTGCAGATTGGCATCAAGCGTTAATAAAGTTGCGTATAATTTGGTAAATATTTAAATATATATATGTATTTATATATATATATTTATTTTGTTTGGCCAATTTGTGTAACTTATTTATTTTAGTTTGGGAAATTTACCTAAATAGTTGAGGAATGTTTATTGGAAAATAGTAATACGTTGTATTTTTAACAGTTTTGTGTGCAAATAATTTGTTATTTATACGTGAGTTTTTATTGGTTTTCTTTGTAAATATTTTAGTAACTTTAATTGAATGTTTTTTGTTTTTTTGTTCTTTTTGCTTATATGTTTATAAACTGCACTCTCAGGCGCTGTCCAATTTAGTTAGGTAATCGTTGTTTATAGTGTTTATGCTGCTGTTGTTGTTCTGATTGTTGTTGTTGCTGCTGCTGCTGCTGCTGTTGTTGTTGTTGTTGCTTAGCTGTGCAACTTCTAGTTTCATTTGAGTTAAGGCCGAAATAAACTTTAGACGGATATTGATTTTTATTCTATTTTTTGTTTGTTTTATATATGTAGTTTTTCTTTTTCTTTTTTTTTTTTTTGTTTTTGTATTTCTGTTACTGTCAATGAGGCGTCGCCGTCTGGACAGGTTGGTAAAAGTTTTGGGTTGCGGCCGCCGCCCACTTTTGGCAGCTGCTGGGGCTTGGGTTTAATTGATTGATTGCCACAAGTTTCTGAGGCGAACACGCGACGCACTTGGCAAATGTTTTAAACAATTTAACATTTAAACTTTGGCAGTTGCTCACAAGAATTTCTTACTCTCGGCTGACAAACAGGCTGACTGACTGACTGACCGACTGACAGACGGGCTAACTGGCTGGCTGGCTGTCTCAGTTGGTGCTCTGCTCTGCTGTTCGCTGCTCGGCCGCACGAGACTGCAGGGTGCACGGTGTTATGGCGTTGTCGTCTAACGTCGTGCGCAACATTCCAATTCGTGGCTGTTGTTGCTGTTGTTGCCGCTGCCACTGCCGCTGCCACTGGCGCTGCTTGCGCCTTTTGTGGCACATTGGAAGCAACATGCGATGTTTTCTAGGCAGCCAAAACACATGTGACAAGCCTTTAGCCGCTTCCAATGGCGCAGGCGCAGGTGCCACAACCAGCAGCAGCAGCAGCAGCACCAGCAGCAGCGGCAACAACAACAGCTGCTAACAGCGGCTGCAACTCTCCAACCGAGCCGACAGCTGGCACCACTGTTAGCCGACAGAGCGGCATCAAACATCAGACGAACAGCTGTTCAGTTGTTCAGCCCCAGCTCACAACCACCCAAGCTCATCATCATGACCCTCATAATGATTATGATGTTGGGCGACGCTGGTTGCCGGTTCTAAGAGCCGACGCATCGCGTCAAGCTTAAGGATTGCTGGCAAATGTTGCCACAAAAACAACACGGGAGTTGAGTTTTAAAAGTTTTACTTTATTTTGTATAAAATTTTTTTCTGATTATAACAGGATATCGCAACTCTATTTCATAGCTTATATTCTAGTATAAATGCATATAGTTATAGATTAATGTATTGGAGAATCTTCTCAGTCCACCTCAGTCTGATATGGAAGAAAATAATAACATATGAAATGTGGTCTGTTAAAAGCGTGAGCAAGGCACAAATCACATACTTAAAATAAGTACAGAAATATAATTAAAGACCAGAAAGTTGGGCTGTATTGTATAAAGAGAGATAAGAAAAGGATTCAAAAAATTTTAATTTAATTTTAATTTTAAAAATTTACAAAATTAAAGCAAATAATCTTAATGAAATATTTAGAATACTAAAGAAAGCACATATTAAAATAATGTTGAGTTGGAATAGTTTTAAAGAAAATTTAGAAAATTGCAGAAGGGACCAAGAATTGAAAGATTGAAGAAAGTATGTAAATAATATTATTTAAAGAAAATATTAGCTTATAGAAAGATTTCGAAAATTGAAGGAAATACAAATAGAGTCAAACGGAGAACAGCTGAAAAATAGCTACATTCGAAAAGTCAAGGATTGTATATATATATTATGATTATATATGACCAACCTTTAACAACATTAGTTATGATGTAGATTTTAAATTTTGACTAAAAACATGTCATCAACTCAAACAAATGTGAAAGGAAATTAATTCTACGCCGAGTTACAAAAAACATTCTCTGTGCTCAAAAGTCCAAACTAACTTTTATTTTAGTTAAAACTATGTTACATACATGATGTATATGTATATGTATGTTGTATGTAGAAGCTCGATAAATTTGTGCAAGCAAAGGACCTTTAGGAGCTGACATGAGCCGGTGCAAAAATATTTGTGCCACGCCCAGGCTAATCCAATCAAAGCCCCAATAATTTGAGTTTCAACATTAATTGGATGCCGCTCATGCATGGTAACAATATTTTATTTATTTTGTTTTTTTTTTTGTATTTTATTGCCGTACATTTTTTGTTGTAATTTGGTATTCTGGTTTCAATATGCCACACCCCTCTTTAGCTGGGAGTCAACAACTTTGCTGAAGGGCAGTCAAAAATGCTCACAAATGCAGCGACAGCACGCAGACCCAACAGTCCTTTCCGTGCAACCCCCTCTGTGCCACACACACACACACACGCCCGAGCACATTTTCATGCACAGAAAAACAGCTGAATTTCATTTAATTATGACTTAACACGAAACGGCGTTGCATACTTAGCGGCGCCGGCTATGCAAGCCAAGAAAATGCCTTTACCCCGGCTGCTCACCCGGCTCACCCTGCTCACCCTACGCCCGCTGCCGGCTGCCTAATTTCAAAAGTTTGCGACACGAACCACCGAACAACATGCCAAATATTGAAATGTAATAAATACAAAAGCGACCCCAAAAAACACACATAAATTGGCCTTAAAAACTGCTGCAGTCCCGGCGTCAACCAGTTGTCTAGAACCCAAACCCAACAATTGGTTTAATATTTCAATTTCTCAGATATTATCAAACAATAAACAAACATATGATTATTAAATTTATGAATATTTGATTATCAAATACATGGACAGACCTTGAAGAAAGATAAACACGAGTTTGCATCAGCAACAATTTATTGCTGGTTCAAACTAAGCCTTGTGGCCGAGAGTTCAAATTCTACAGGAATATTTCGAAATATTGAAAGAGAAAGAGAAATAGACTAATATGATATGAATAAAGTGTCATTCCAGCGAAATACAAAACCAAATCATAATGTCCTATAAAAATGTATATTCAAGTTAAACAAAGAAATTCTTTGTTTTATACTTATATATTTACAACCCATATTTTTGACTATGAACATATAGAGTAACATGGTCTGACTTTGAAATGCTATAACTTCTTGATATATATAGTACAGATATATATAGATATAGTATAGATATCTCACTATATAGTACACGCACAGACCACGGGCAACAGCTGACGTCGGCCATCTCTAGTACCTGGATGGCGTGCGCATTACACTTACACAACCCCCAAGCACTCTGCCCCCAGACGCCCTGCCCCCAATTGCCATCGACTGGGGCCGAGTGAGAAACAAGTTGCCTGTCGCCAGGCCTGAAAGCAGCCGGTAACTTGCATTTTATTGTGGCCATAAAAATTGTAGAAAAGAGCCAACTAAAATGCTATGGAAAATTTATTAACGACGCCAGCCAAAAAGGAAGACAGCTGCCTGCAAGACACCACGCCTGTATGTGTGTGTGTGTGTGTGCTGGTGTGAGTGCCTTGACTTATGCTATTGATTTTTGTGGCCTTTTTACCTGCCTTGCCCCCCTTGTCTTGCATAATTACACTCATTATAATTATATTAAATCTGCGAACAAATTTTTTCTTCTGTCGCATTTTAATTATAACGGCATGCAACTTTTGGCCCGCCCATCTCCCTCACTCTCATGCTGTTGCTCTCTCACTCAGCCGGCGTTCGTTGGGCAGTTTGTATACGCTGGCGCCACCTGTCGACGTCAGTAGGCGGCAAAACTAATTACACAGCATTCATTTAAAAGAGTCAGCTAAATGCTAATGATCTACAAAAAAAGGGCAAGAAGCAGCTATGAAAATTGTAAGAAAATGCAAGACATTTTGTCCATATCCAGCGCCTCCTGGCTGTATGTATGGGTTTGTGTGTGTGTGTGTGTGTGTGTCCGTGTGTCCTTGTTGCTGTTCCGTAAGCCTAATAAATTTCAAGAGCTCTGTCCGAAAATGTCAGGACCTTAAACAAGCCTCAGGGACCAGCGACTATTTGCGGCAATTTCGGATCATTTTCGTATCGATTTTTTTATGTTGTTTTTATATTTGACCCAATACACTATTCCCCAGCGGCATGCGGGAATATTGGTTTCAGGCCTTATTACTTCAGCTTTCACTTTCTTTAAGCGTAATAATTATTGATTCATTTTGAAGCCTATTCCCAACACCGAAAAGGGCTTAAGGCGGGTAGGGCTTAAGTTGATTGACTTAGAGGCCCATATTGAAAATAGCTTTACCTGTGCCAATCAGGTGAACATGATGAACGGATAATAGCGCAGTCGGCAAACTCCAAGTGAAACGTTTTTTTTTCTTTTTAAGTTTTCTTTCTGTGTCTTGTTACGCCGTCGACCGGAAGCGGAAGTTGCAAGTGGCATGCGTCGCTGCTGTCTGACCGCAGATACTTGCTGTTGCTATTGCCTTTATCTTTCACTGTTGTTGTAATTGTTGTTGCAGCTTTTCTTTTACAATGTGGCAATCGCAGCCTATTTTAAAACTGCTCGCGGTTTGGCCTCATTTGGCACATTAATTAAGAACTTGTTATTTGACAAGTCGGTCGCATTGCGAGCTTAGCAACTTGCCAAGCAACAGCAACAAAAACAACAACAACAAAAACTTTGCAAATGCCCGCGGGCAGTGTCGCGGCGTTGTATCAAAAATATTGCGCATACGCAACGTGGCCTTCAAAGTAACAAAATAGAAGTTTGCGACTACGCAACATTTTGCACTTGCTGCTAATTCTTGAGTGTGCCAAAAACTGACAGTTTACAAATCTATGTGTGCGCGTGTGTGTGTGTGTGTGTGCGAGTGCTTGTGTGTGTGTATGGGGGGGGTCTATTTGCGAACTGCGCCTCAGCCATTTTGTCTAGCATTTTACTGGCGCCGCTTAGATTTGCACATCAAATAGCAATATATATATATATATATATATATACATAAAATATATATTTGAGCTCATGTGTGTGTGTGTGTGTGGTGCTGTGTCACAATTGTGACGTCATATATACCAAATGTAGCTAATGGAAAAGGTCATATACTTGTAATACAAGCTTTACATATTAGCATGTAATTTAGCTACAAATAAATCAGCTGAAGTCGATTATTTTATGTAAATCATTTTTATTTGGTATAAATGCTAACAATTAATATAAACATAAGTAGACCCCAAAAAATAACCCATGCTTAGGTCTGAATTGCCTTCCCTCGCATTCCTTTTTTTATACAAATATGTATGTAAATATGCACAGACTGACTTTTATATAAAAAGTAGACTTCCTTTGGACGACTAAAAGCAGGAAAGAAGATAATCAAAGTGAGCGAGATGAGAGAGAACTGTAATTAGAGCTAGAATATAAACAAGAATAAAGTTAATTAGATTCCAAAATTAATTGGTTAATATATACAACACTTATAATCAACGCAGGACTGACTTGAATCCACGATAATCACATAGTACGGCGTCAGCTAAAAATGCTGTAATGGCAAAGCTTAAATCTTTTCCCTCTTTAATCTGAAATCGAAATTGGTGCCACCAACTGGCAACATTAACAAATTAATTTCTAACGCTTAAAATTGCGATATGCTACAAGCTAAGACTTTGAAGACCTTAAGGTGCCCAAATTAGAAAACAGAATCCAAAATACACGGAGAGGCTAGGAGCTCATCCAAACTGTTTAGCTAGACGCCTAAATACTCCCTGTCACCGTAGAAGAGTAAGGAGGAGACTTAAACGCCATCACCTTCAAGACCTCCTGAACCGGGTCTTGACATAAATAAATTTAGATGATCTCCCCAGTATCACCCTATCAAACCTCCCCCTTATAAGTTATCTTTAATTCATTGTTACGTCTATCATAAATTATTTTGTTATTTTTAGTTTAATTTTTGATTAGTTGCCTTTCAAGGTAGCAGCACACCTATCTTTTGTTATATAAATTTCATTTTTTTCAACTCTAAAAAAAAAACAAGCAAAAAAATATAATCTGACCATGATGTCGTTTTCAAACGTCATAATGTCACCATGCTCAACGGGAGTTATGTCGTTTTCAAACGTCATATCTCCAGCGGATTTATGTTATCGTCATAACTCTGCGCGGAGTTAATAATCTCGCCCCTTATAAGTTAATTCATTGTTATGTTCTATCATTAATTATTATTTTGTTATTTTTAGTTTAATTTCTGATTAGTTGCCTTGCAAAGTAGCAGCACTCTTATCTTATAATAAATTTCATTTTTTTCAACTCTAAAAAAAAAAAATAATAATCTCACCATGATCAACGGGAGTTATGTCGTTTTTATCTCCAGCGGATTTATGTTATCGTCATATCTCCGCGCGGAGATAATAATCTCACCCCTTATAAGTTATCTTTAATTCTTTGATATGTTTTGTCATTAATTATTTTATTTTTAGTTTAATTTCTGATTAGTTGCCTTTCAAGGTAGCACACTTATCTTTTGTTAAATAAATTTCATTATTTTCAACGGGAGTTATGTCGTTTTCAAACGTCATACTGTCACCATAATCAGCGGCGGAGTAAGATATGTCGTTTTCAAGCGTCATATCTCCAGCGGATTTATGTTATCGTCATATCTCCGCGCGGAGTTAATAATCTCGCCCCTTAAGTTAAAAAACAAAATTGCGATTGTATTCAATTATTTAACCAACACATCCATTTAAGCGTTGCTTTATTTATAAACTGGTTCGATTCCGACTTGCGCCTGGTAATTAGTATTACGAACTTTATTATAAAATTAAAAAAATATATTTAACCGTGAAATGAGCCACGTCGGCTGCCTGAGAGTGGGGCGCGATACACGCAACCTGCAATGCATCGGACAAATGTTCGTGCTTTTTATGCTATTTTCATCTATTGTGTTGATTTTGTTTTTTTTTTTCGGTTTGGTTTGGTTTGGTTTTGGTTTCTTGCCTTCTTGTTGCTTTTATTGTTATTAATATTTCATTTCCTTTTTTCCCTAAGGGGAGGGTGGGTCTGCGGCCAGCTGAATTGCGTTTTAGTTTCGTATATAAAAAGATCGGGAATGGCGGGAAAAGAGAAAATGGCTGCGTTGCGGCTGCCAGAAATGGCGTCGTTCACTTTAACATTGCATACTTTTGGGCGTTTTATTATATTAAGCTATAAATTTCAAGGTCAGACATCACATGCCAGCTGCCAGTTGCCAGTTGTTGTTGCTGCGAATGTTGTTGTTGTTGTTGTTGTTGTTGTTGCTGCTGTTGTTGTTACTTTTGTTGCTTCTAAGTATAGTGGCTTTGTTGGCAGCACGCAAAGGCAAAAAGGACATCTTTCAGGCGGCCCATTGGGCAACCTTTTGAGATTCCTGCTTGTCACGACTCTAATACCCAGCCACTTAATTGCCTTGTTAAATGTGATTTGCCTGCCGCCCCGCACAGCTGTGCTCAGTCGTTAACCATTAAAGACTTCTACTCATAATTGCATATTAGGGACTAAATTTTTAAAACATTTTAGTTAAACATAAATATAGTATTATTTTGATGCCTTGTTGGTGCTTACATAATTTGAATAGGACTCTTGGTAGTTGTCAACTGAAGTAGAAATACAATTAAGAATAGGTTACATGTTTCGATTGCACTCTACAACTATCTCTATGATGAATTTATTTAAAGTGTGCAATATTTATAGCTTGCATATGTTATACAATTTTCCACATACTAAATTTTGGGTATATAACTCTTGTAATTTTTGGTTGATGCTTGAAAAAGCGAGTCACTAAATATATATTATGAAAATGGGATTATTTATATGTGTATAATAATATATTATAGAATTAGGACCCTCGAGCCTAATCAAATATTTACAGAAAAAGAAAGATCGTCTAAATCAAAATTATATCTACCGAAACTCTCATTAAAACAATCTAACGAGAAACAAAACTTATGAAGGAAGATTCTTTTCTAGTCTTAACAAATATATGAAATAAGTTTAAAAGAAATATTTAAAAAATACTTATTTTTTAAATTACGAAATTTAAATTTAATTATGTTTATTTTTGTACTTTACATAATCCTGGGAATCTAAAACTTTTTTATATACATAAAGATATACATATATGCATGCATGTTAAAGTGTTAAAAAAAATCGTAGACTGTAATATGTACTTAAAAAAAGAATTATTTTTATTTAGCTTAAAGTAGTTAGTTAAAAGTAGTTATCCTATCCGTATTTCATTTAGTCCAAGCCTGAATAATAAGTAAATGCTCAACTGTGATGTGAATTCGATGTTAAGCTTTAAATGGTTACGGTTGAGCGTTTGCGGAGCTTTAAGGTCGTTCTTTAATTAAGTTTTATATCAGCTGAACGTCAGCTGGCATTAAGGCCAGAGGCTAAGGTAAGGACTGTGTGGCCTTTGGTGGTGTCTCGGGCGGCGTCTCGGGCGGTGGCAATGGCGCCACCTGCTGGGCGTTGCTTGCGTTTTATTTGAATTGCTTGTATAGTATGTATGCGGCGTCTGGGGCGCCTAAAAGCAGAGCTCATTTTGTGTGGCAAGTTTGCCGTAAATCGATGCGGCAGCCCGCCTAAGCAGCCATAAACCAGGAGAGTGCCAACAAAAGGGCCGGCTTAAGCCGTGCCATGCCTGATAATGGCAGCAGAAGTGTGCGGCATTTGCTGCGGCAGGTGGGGCAAGTTTGTCCTTTTTTCTCTGCCTTCCTTTTTTGCTCGTCGTGCTTCAAGTGTCAGTGTGGATTGTGTGCGCTGGTGACACGTGGCAACTTAAATTGAAATGCCGCCAGCAATGCTGTACATATCTATTAGGCCCAAGCAGCGGTCCCCCTGCACCCAACCACACTGCCATTTGCCCCACCGCAGGCGGCACTTAGCGGCACTGACAAATGTCACCTGCTGTTATCAAATATACAACTGCAGTCGGTAGTCGGCAGTCGGCATTTGCCAGCACATGCATTTCGTAAAGGAGTCGACAACAGAAGCCCATAAATATATCCAAATGCTGATTACACCTGGTCCTCATGGAAAAGCTGGCGGAGATTTGGCGCCGGCAGCTGCCATTTGGCTCGCACAATATCTGGATTTTTGGTGTGTGTGTGTCAGTGTGTGTGTGTGTGTGTGTGTGTGTGTGTGTGGCCGTTTATTGATTTGCAATGCTTTCCTTTTTCATGGCATGTTCTGCCATTCATATGCATATGGGCGTGGGCATGCTGGTGGGCGTTGTCATAAAATGGCTAACATATTGCCGAAGAACCAGAGCCAAACAGAGCTGCAAACGAGCCCAATAAGATCCAAAGACGCAGTGCCGCATTATTGAGAGCTCACATTGAGGGATGCTGCCAAGTCAGTTAGTCAATAAGTCAGTCCGGCAAGCGCTCAGTTGGTCAATGACTCATGCATGCCAACTGGCCAGTTGGCCAATTAGAAAGCACCCAAAGGGCTGAGAGTGCCAAACGAGGACGCACATTAAAGCCAGGCCAAACGATTTATGTGCTGCGGCACACACACACACACCCAAACACACACACGCACACGTATTGTATTATGTGTGTGTCTAATTTACATTTATTGCAATTGACACACTCACTTATCGAATGCTCAGTTACAAGTTAGTTCTAGATCTGAAGTCTTTATGCAACTGACTCGACAGAGAACGCCTTATTAGGAGTTTGACTAGAAGGAAAGTCCACCCACAGCTTTCAGCCAACAACAGCTCTCGTCTAGCATTAACAAACCTTGCCTAACCCTTTCACCTGGTTTCCCGTCAGGCGGACCGCCTGATGGAATGTGACACATATTATTAAATTAAAATTGAATTTCAACTTATTTTGAGTCATTTGGTCAACTAAATTCTTGGCAACAAGTCTTGACCCTTTCTGGCACACTAAAAGACAACATATTCGGTTCTAAATGGGAAAGTATATAAAATTTAATGACAAGGCGCCTAGACCGACTATTCTCGGATTCGGCTGCAAGAGCGAATGCAAATGGCATAAAAGGTCTGCTGCCAAGTGGCCACTGCAGCGGGTTTATGCCGCAAGATTGATGCGGCAAAGGAACACAAAGATATTGCGATTGGGCAATTGATGGATTGATCAATCGATCATTTAATAAGGAGGTAAGTGCAGGACAAAGTTCAGGCGCCGTTCCAGTAATTGAATGCCAATTGCCATGCACCAAATGCCGAACAGACATCTGACCGCCGTCCAGCAAAGCAGATGGAGACGCTTCAAGGATGTTACCCTTGCCCAGGCTCATTAAATTAGTAGATAGCAGACAGGGTCTTGCGGCAATGCCAATTGACAACGACAACGACAACGACTACGACTACGACAACACTTCAACTTAAGTAATCTATATGTGCTGCAAAGTTTGTGCACATAGACATCCATTCAAACACGGAAGGTCTATGTATTTAGATACACTGCAAAAAAAAAGAAGCAACACATATCTGAGCTTGTGCTGAATATTGATTGATTTTGCTAATCTATTCGATAATATATGAAAGCTCTTGATTATCCCAAGAACCAAGCCGGTTCATATCCGGAACTCCAGTTTATTCCCCATTTATGGGTTAGCCGATGCCAATTTTGGGTAGAGAACAAATGTAGCCCGCGATTAAAATTTTCAGCAGAACGGGCATACGACAAACGACAAAAGTCTTATAATAAATTAATTTGAAATTATGTTAGAAAAAATGATCAAATATTCTGAAAGATTGTGTCAAATGAAAATATAGCAATAAGCATTCACGGACTCCAGCAGCTGTAGGAAATATTGTAACTGGCTCAAGGAACTAGTTCAGACAACAACAAAATAAAAACTAAAAAACAATTTGTGGAAGCAAAAGCGGAAAAAATTAACAGTAAATGCATTCATAGTATGTACGTAAACACATTTATTTATTTATGGCCAACTTTCTAAGAATCAAACACATAAAACGCAGCTAATTTTCAACTTGGCAAGGGATGTGCGAGAGAGACTGAAAGAGAGAGAGAGAGAGAGAGAGAAGGAGAAATAGAGATAGACAAAGCAATTGCAAATGTCTGGTAAGTTTTGTGCCAGGCCAGCTTGAACTGGATGGGGAAGGAGCGGGCGCAGGGGCCAAGCAATTGGGCTGATGCCAAGAAGGCCTAAAAGCCATTGCAAAGGAACAGGCAAATGGGCACGAATCCGAGCGCTGCAAATGTGTGGCATACGCATAGGCGCCGCAACGAAAGTTCTGCCATTGTTAGAGCGAAGTTCGTGGGCCATTTATCATGGCGACCCGTTATAGCTGTGGCGCTTATATGTGCTTGCAACCTTATATCATAATGCAACTGCAACTTGGCAGCAAAAGAAGTTTTTTTTTTCGGTAATGAGCGGCAGCCTGCCCGCCATTTGGCATTTGCAACCCTTTTGTCAACTTTAGTTGAGTTTTTCTTTCCTGCTATTCTATTAAAGCCTTTTAAAGAGCTCACCCACGCACAGCGGGCAGCTGCTGGTTAGATGGGGTTTCTCTTGCGCCTGTGAGGGGCACCGACTGGAGGGGCACACGCATGGCAGGAGACCATGCTTAACGGCTTGTTGGCCACTTTACGCCGCGGTACTCACGACGCTGGCAAAAAGGCAGACAGCAAAAAAAAACAAAAAAATGCATGCAGCAACAGCAAATGCTGCATATGCGTCTGCGTGTGTGTGCACTTGAAAAACATATTAAAATATAACAAAAAAAAAAGAAAGAAAACAACAACAACAACAACAACAAAAACACGCCGCACAGCAACGAAAAATCAAAGCACATTATGGTAAGCTAAAATATTCATTTCCCCCAAAGACCCGTCCGCCCCCCTTCAGCATTTTTTGTACCACTTTTTCACATTTTTAAATGCCATGCAAGGCGAGCCATTAAAAATATATTTATATATGAATGCAATGCGCCACCAACTGGCCAAGTGCACTACAAAACTATAAAAGCAACAACAACAACAACAACAACAGCAACAACAAGAACAAGAACAAGCGGTTGCAGCTGCAAAAGCGCATAATGCGAAAAATCGTTGCAGCATTTCAGGCGCCTCTGGCGTATGAGCAATTTTTAAATACCTTCTGGCCAATGCGCTGCAATTAGAACTTTGAGCAGCAAGGGAACGTTGAAGGGGGATGGGGTTGAGCTTGCATATTTAAATTTTAGTTGGGCAGCTAATTGTTGCACGGGCATGTTTTGAGCGAAAATATTCATTGCATGTGCAATCGATGTGCAATCGATGGGACCAACAGTCAATGCGAATGCGAGTTTTCAATCAACAATTCAAGCTTACAAATAGTTCGAGTAATTATAATAATGCATTTGTTAACTTGCTCGAAAGTAAAAATATGTCGGAAATATCTGGTGAAATACAAATTTGAACTGTAAACTGTTCACGGAACAATATGCGATTGATCAATCAGCCCAATTAGAATTATGTGTGAAAATATGTGTACAAGAAAGAAATATCAAAGCAAATTAAGTTCCCTGATTAAAAAGCCTAAATAATATATTTATGATATATACTCTTCTTATTTTATATATCATATTATTTATTATATTATATAATACTATGCTCGACCTTAATAAATAATATTCATGCATAGTCTTGGTCACACAACAATATTATATATTATATTATTAACACTCTTCAATCAAATTCAGTGACAAACGATATTCCTTCAATCATCAATTAATAAATTTAAATAGCCTATCAATTATTTAACAATTGAACTCGTTCAATCAGTTGCTGTTCTTTTTGTTGAATTTGTAAGAACGTGAACCTTCAATCAATCAGTCAGAACATCACTTATTTAATTGATGTATTAATTATGTGGCCAGCTTGCATTTCTACACTAATTCATCCATCTTGTCATAAATGTCGCTTAGTAATGCCTTGCGTGTTGTATTTGCATCAATCAACTTGGTTTCAATCAATCAGCAATCTTGTCATTAGTAATTCGTTCATTTCACTTACTCTCAGTCGTAACACGTTTACGTTATGTCCAGAAATCATCAATCCTTGACATCCACAGCCACATCAGCCACATCATCTGTCAATCAATCATTTCAACAGTCAAACGGTAAATTGCGTAAGATTTTAGGAAAAAAAAAACTCGGGTCCAAATCACCTTCAAGTTGCAAAAGACAATTGGCAGCTGTGTTAACGCCCACAGCCCCCCCCCCCCCCACACACACACACACACACCCCTCCCCCCCTCCTGCAGCATGTGGTTTCTGCACATCCATGCTCAATTACAGCTTTATCGTGCGCGTGCAGCGGTGAAGCAGCTGTCATGGCTCGCCGCTGGCCGTTGGTAGCTGGTGGCTACAGGAGGGGGCTGGAGTCTGGGGGCTGTCCTGATCTCAGACCTTATAAGACAATGTCGTCATCGTCATCATTGCCACCGCCGCCCCACAGCTGTTTAGCCTGATGCCGGGAAAAGCTTTGGCCATATGTTTTGTTTTAGCTTTATGGCGCAAAAGCACTTTCAGGCGCATCCAGTGGCTGGAAAATTGTTTGTACGCATTCCAGGAATGGGCATCGAAACGGAATGTGTGCATAAACGCAGGTAAATGTGCAAATGTGACTTTCCCAAATCGAGTGCAGAGCTGCCCAGTACTGGATCATTCATTTGCGTACAGGTACTAAAGGTATTATCCTAGACAGAAAGAAGCCTTACCTTCGAAAGACATGTCACGTCACCGCAGCACTCATATAGAGCCAAATTAAATAACATGTCCTGGTTACTCTCCGCCAAAAACAAATTGTCGCTGGAGAACAAGCTCAAACTATACAAGTGCATCTTAGCTCCCAGTCTATTATATTCTATTAAATAAATTTCATTTTTTTCAACTCTAAAAAAAATAAAAAAAAAAAAATAGTCTCACCATGATCAACGGGAGTTATGTCGTTTTCAAGCGTCATATCTCCAGCGGATTTATGTTATCATCATATCTCCGCCCTTGTAAGTTATCTTTAATTCTTTGATATGTTTTATCATTAATTATTTTGTTATTTTTAGTTTAATATCTGATTAGTTGCCTTTCAAGGTAGCAGCACCATATCTTTTGTTAAATAAATTTCATTATTTTCAACTCAAAAAAAAAAAATAATAATAATCTCACCATGATCAACGGGAGTTATGTCGTTTTCAAGCGTCATATCTCCAGCGGATTTATCGTCATATCTCCGCGCAGAGTTAATAATCTCACCCCTTATAAGTTATCTTTAATTCTTTGATGTGTTTTATCATCAATTATTTTGTTATTTTTAATTTAATTTCTGATTAGTTGCCTTTCAAGGTAGCAGCACACTTATCTTTTGTTAAATAAATTTCATTTTTTTCAACCCTAAAAAAAAAAGAAATAATCTTACCATGATCAACGGGAGTTATGTCGTTTTCAAGCGTCATAATCTTACCATGATCAACGGGAGTTATGTCGTTTTCAAACGTCATATCTCCAGCAGATTTATGGTATCGTCATATCTCCGCGCGGAGATAATAATCTCGCCCCTTAAAAGTTATCTTTAATTCGTTGATAGGTTTTATCATTAATTATTTTGTTATTTTCTGATTAGCTTAAGTTGCCTTGTAAGGAAGCATAACACATATCTTTTGTTAAATAAATTTCATTTTTTTTTTCAACTCTAAAAAAATAAAAAACAAAAACAAAATAATCTCACCAGGATCAATGGGAGTTATGTCGTTTTTAAGCGTCATATCTCCAGCGGATTTATGTTATCGTCATATCTCCGCGAGGAGATAATAATCTCACCCCTTATAAGTAATCTTTAATTCTTTGATAGGTTTTATCATCAATTATTTTGTTATTTTAGTTTAATTTCTGATTAGTTTAAGTTGGCTTGCAAGGTAGCAGCACACTCATCTTTTGTTAAATAAATTTCATTTTTCGACTCTAAAAAAAAAAAGAAAAAAGTGGCTGGAAATCGGCACGTGCCGGACTGTTTGGCCATGGAGCGACACACAGAAAAGCTCTGGAAACCGAGAGTCAGCGTTGCAGCAAAGCTTGCTGCCTGCAGAGCCCTGCCCAAGCTTGCGCTCTTAGGCGGGCGGGTAGGGGCAAGAGGAATGAAAACCATAAGAAGCCCTAGTCAGGCCGTAAAAACAAATGCCGGCTTTACATGTATTGGTGAGAATGACGGACAAAAAGCAATACATACAAAAGGAGCGAATGGGAAAGAGTGGGAGAGAGAGTGAGAGCGCCAACGAGTGAGTGAGCGAGCAAGCTGAATGTGTTGTCTGTGAACAGCCAAACAGAACTTTGACTTAACTTCATAGCCGTCCCCGCCCTCGCCCCCGCCCGCACACCACAACCCCTCAACCAGTGCGGCCAACTGCTTCGACTGCTTTTTGTTCGCGCTCCACAGCCATCTCAACAACAACAAAAGAAGCAACAGCAACAAAACATGCAACAATGTGACATTATGTCATAGCTGACATTTTTTGCCATTTTGATTGTTGTTGTTGTTGTTGTTGTTGTTGTTGGGTCTCTGAACGCTGTGGAGTGTCTGCAGCAAATGCTTTTCACAAAGCATTTAATGCCGTTAAGTTATCTCATAAAATTATGAATACACTTCGCATGATGCTTGATGATCTGTCAAGCAGCTTGTGCAAACAAAACGGCAAAGTTTACACTAGCTTGCTTGACTGTTATTTTTTTCATGTTTTCTTTCTCACTACTTACTGAAGCAAGAGGAAAAGCAAGGCTAGTCGGGCGTGCTCGACTTACAGATGCCCTCAACCAAGCGCCGAGTTGCCGTTACGCACAGTCTAGCATCCTTCTAGCCTTCGCTAGCCTAACACCATGAAAACTGATTTTTTGAATAAATTCGGTGTTTATTGTCCGATCAATATGAAATTTTCAGGGCATTTATACTTATATGAAGATATCTCACGAGTGAGTTACTCTGCATCTGTGTGCAGTGCACGACAGTCTGCTTACTGAACTATTATCAATATCATTAACGACACGTAGAGCTCGGGCAGTAAGGAGACCTTTATTAAAAACTTTTCTTAAAGATTCTAGGACACGTTTCTAAATAAGGTTTACTTATTTTTATACAGAATATATACATACATACCGGCTACTGTCTGTTACATAAATTCGCGCTAAGCCCCTATACCCTTCTATACCATACATTTTCAGGGTATATAAAATAAGTAAATAAAATTATTCGAAACCTTGACATTGACAATTTTCGCTGTTGTTCTTGTTGTTTTTATGGTAATGCCTTTTCCTATTTCCTTAAGCTGTTTGGCTCGGAAAAACAATCGAATTGTCAACTTAAGCACCAAGGACTACATAACTAAGTGCATATATAAGGGTCTATTAGCACCTATTAATATCTTAAGTTATTAATTTTTTTCTAATATTGATATGTATTCTTTATTGATTTGACCATTGAAAAGTGTTTTTAACTAAAACACTTTATCCA